GGTCCCTTTAGGGCCCCTGCTGGCTCCAAAAGGGGCCCGAAAGGGCCCCTCTAGGGCCCTCACCCCCCATGTACCCCGACGTCGTGATTTTTGGTCACAACGTCGACCCTCAAAGGTCTGGACCCCTTCCCGGGGACCGGTTTCTCATCCTGAGCCGTTTTTGAACGGTCCCGAGGCCCGGCGAGGGCCCGCGGAGGCCGAAAATAGCGAGATGCCTCCCGTCGTGATCTTGTCACAACGCGAGGGGGTCTGGGCAGGTCAGCCCCCGTGGCCGCCCAACCCGAGCGTGGCCGCTCTGGGGAGCCCGGGGCGCTCCGCGTGCTCGGGGTACTGCCCCGCGAGCCACGGCGGCGGCCCGCTCTCCTCCGACTGGAGGGGCGCGCCCTCCTCCAGCCGGCGCTTCGGCATGGCCGCCGGCGAGGGGGCGGCGCGGCGCCGCGGGGCTCCGGCGGAGTGGCGACTTCGGCGGCAACTCCTGGGAGCCTCCCACAACGTCTTGTCGGCTCTTGCGGATCGACGCTCATCGACGCTAGATCGACGCTAGATCGACGCTGAATAGACGCTAATCGACGCTAGATCGGCGCTACCTCATCGACCCCCAGACGCTAATCGACGCTAATCGACGCTTAAAGACGAAATGAAGAGGGCATACCAGGCTCCCAAGAGTTGCTACCAAAAGATGGAGTGGCGACGAGTGCCGAGCCCCAGTGTCTTACCTGCCAAGACCACCCCAACCGAACCCGAAGGCCCAAATTTCGGGTTGGGAGGAGTAGAGGCCCCGCACGTGTTTTCTCAGTGTTCCCCGACGCCCGCCCCGCCGCTCAACTGGGAACGGAGTGCAAATTTTGGCCTTCGAGTTGGGCTGGGGTGGTTTGGTGGGTGTGGCCTCCACCTTGCCAGCGCTCGGACGTCCATTGCCCGTGCGTTTGTCGGTATCCTGCGTGCATTTGTGGCAGAATGGTCCAGGATGCTCCTCGATGGTCCTCGCCGAGAAGAACGCACACGTCCGATTGATGCCGAAACACCCGCCGCCCATCGACGTGTCTGAACCGTTGATCGGCGAGGGTAGGGTTCGGGTTTCGCCGCTGGCAGACCCTCTCCAGCCGGTCGCGAGCAGAGCACGGCAGTGCTGCAGGGCCTCGGCGCCAAGTGACCGACGGGAAGAAACATGTCCAACTCGAGATGGCATGGCGAGCTTACGCGGCGGCTTGCGCGCGGGCCCCCAGCGTGGGACACCACGCGGGAAACGAGGGCGCGTACGCGCCAATGTCCGTGCAGACGACCTCGTTCTGCCACGTCGCTAAATGGATGTCCATTTCTTTCTTTACCGACGGCTATAGACTAGAATAGCTGCCGTGGTTAACCTGCTCATCGGAAGACCTAGGGCGACGGGCGACGAATTCGATACTTGAAGATGGAAGATGGATCTGCGGTGCCTGACCGGGCGCTGCAATACTCGAGAGCCTGTCGAACTGGGGCAGCGGCCCTCGAATTGGCACTCGATCCAAGTAATCCTGCTTTGTTCCCCAAGCTCCGACTATACGATTGTTTCAATCCCGGCGGCGCTTCCTTCGTCTCGGCCTCCAGGGACCTTTTGTGGGCCCGGGGCGGATCAGGAACAGGTCTGGGCGAAAAACTGTCCCCGGGTCAGAAGCTGGAGAATGTGCATTACCAGTGGCGGGCTGTTTCTCAATCCCTTCTGAGGGTCGGGGACGACGTCGGGGCGGTGCGGTGTATACTTTTGTTACCCGTTTCCCTGGGAAACAGCAAAACATGCATACACCAAAATCCCGTACTCACCAGGCGCCGCTTTCCTGCTTGCAAGTTTCAGTGCAGAGCCAGAAATGGCGTTGGTATACAAAGTTTTGCTCACCACAACTGGTCCAGGGCTCCGGGGCAGAGGATTGAACAGCGTGGGATGAAAGGCATCCTCGGATGTGTGTGTGTGTGGGTCCTGCGTCTCGTGGGCCTCGAGATCTCCGCGGGCCTCCCCGACATGGGCCTTCGTCGCCACGGCCAGAGGCCCAGGGGTCGGGGGCGCACGCGCCTGGGACAGCACAGGCCCAGGTCGGCCAGGGCCTGCCGCGAAGCCTGTCGCGAAGCCTGGCCTTCGGGCGGGTGGTCATGTTCCGATGCCGCGCGTGTAAGTTTCGCAAGATGATCCAGGCTGCTCCTCGATCGTCCTCGCCGCCCAAAAACGCACACGTCCGAGCGATGCCAAGCCTCTGCACGTGTCGGGCGGGTGGTCATGGGGGGTGACATGGGGTGACCCAAATTGGGAGCGAAGAGAAGGGCCCTGAAGGGCCCCCTGTGGTCCCCTGCTGACTCCAAAAAGGCCCTTCAAGTTTTTCTTCACCTCACATTTGAATCACCCCACATGACCAGCCGCCCAACGCCTAGTAGCTCCCAAATCCGCGAGTCAGCGGAAGGCGGGGAGGGGGAACCAGCCCCACGTGGCTCCCAAAGCCGGGTCAGCCAGGGGGGGAATGGCTGACCCTCGTTGGCGCTGACCCCGCTACAACGTCGACCCCGAAGTCCGACCTGATCACTGTCGCCCAGCTTTCAAGCATAACTCGGGCCGCAGGCGGCCGTTCGGAACGATCTGGACACCCCCAGCACGCCCTCGGCGAGGCGCAGCTGCTGGAGAGCATCCCGAATCTGCGAAACCGCAGAGAGTCCACGAAAACGCCCGGAAACCTCGAACCTCGATCCTCCTGTTTGTCCAAAGCGCGCTGACCCCCGTGATGTGAGCCCCGACTGGGGAAACCCAAACATACCGATACCGCTAGTCCCTGGACCTCTCCCGGGGTGCGCTCTGACCCACATGTCGAGGCGCATCCAGTGGTGCGAAGGCCTCCCAGAACGCCCACGAAGGCAAAAACGAGGAAAGGGTAGCTCCTGTGACCGACAGGGGTCGATCGAGCTCGAGGCCCGGGACCAGGGATCCCCTGGGCACCGCGGGCCACGTCATGGCGGCCGCCTCTGCGGGAGTCGTTGGGCGTCCGCGGGGGGCGTCCCTTCGGAGACCCGGGCCGCCGACTCGACCACGATGAAAACGGGCGCACGAGCGGCGAGCGCGTCCATGTCGAGCCAGTGGAAGTGGGGGTGACCAACGGGAACCTTTAGGGCCCCTTTTGAAACCAGGGGTCCTTTCAGGCCCCCCTCTTCACCCCCGATTTTACTCACCCCCCATTACCGCCGACCCGACGCCCTCGGGGTCTGCATTCTGCATTCCGGTGCGGGGTCCCGCGGTCGCACGGATAGAAGACTCCCCAAGAGGGTCCGAATAGTTGGGGCCGGAGGATCACGCCGCATCCCCGGTGCAACGGCGATACGTCGTCGAAGTCGGGGATGCAACGGCAAAGGCGACGTGGAGAATATCGGGCTCCACATCGAGCCGCATCGCCGATGCATCGGCGATGCATAGGCGGCGATGCATCGGCGATGCGGCGGGATTCTCCGACCCCCTGCGCTCGGTGGGAGGCCTAGAACGGATAGGTCTTCGGAGAAAAAACGCCCTGTATCAACGGCGTCGCGGAGCAGAGGCCCAGCCGGCGAGGCCCTGGATACGAATTGTGTGTTTCGCCCACGACGGGTCCCGAGGGAACCGGGCCCTGGACCGCGAGTCGTTCTCTGACGGTCCTGGCCCGCGGGCAAGGAAAAACTGCCCCGGACACGGGGTCGAAGAAGCCTCCCAGGGCCCACGCCGCGAGAAGATCGCGCCGCCGAGGTCTGCGCGCGCAGCGGCGACTTGCTGCTCAGGCCAAGAAGGCTGCGAAGAAGGAGGGGCTCCCAGAGACTTCAGCCACGACTACGTCGACGAGAGCGGGGAGGCACAGCGTTCCGAATGTGTCTAGTCCAGAAGGGTTGGCGCCTCCTCGCTGCGGGCCTGGATGACCACGCTACTGAGGAGGGCAGCATCGAGGAGCACCTGCTGCCGACGCCTGAGAGGTAGACGCAGGGCAACCCTCGCGGCGGTCAAAGAGGGGAGAAGCGACCACACCAGAGTAAACCAAGGATGCGCCACCGGAGCTGCAACACACCCTCCCAGCCCAATGACCCTCCTCCGAAATCCCTACACGTATTCCTTTCCACCGCAGAAGCGCCCCCTTGAATGACGAGCGCCTGGTGGGCTTGTCACTTAGGCGAGATCCCGTGTCGATTCTTCCCTCCACGCTTTGAGCTAAGAGAAAGCGAAAAGGTATGATGATACAGTTCAAGGAGGTGTCCAAGGTCTACCCGTGAAACTACTGCAACGTTTGGAACTTCGGGCCATGGAAAACAGAAGTTCCAAGCGATGTCAAGCACATTGAAAACGAACCAACCTCAATCCTTGTAACAGATGGAAGACTTTGATACGAATGTGCGCGTCACGAAATCGAGACGCATTTTGAAAACCACTGGCCATCCATCCGTGCACCTGATTGAAACTTTTGGAGTGAATGCGCGCGGCACGAAGGCGAGACAAGCACTTTGAATACCAACGGACCTCCACCCGTGTAACTGTTGGACGTCACAGGCGAAACGCCAAGCCTGGCCTACGGACAGCCTGCTGAAGCGACAGGGAGGACTTGTTATATCAGGAAAGGAAATGGAGCCATGATGATGGAGGGACGAGGGAGGATGAGAAGGGAAGATGCTGAGGAGGAGCAATAGAACAGAGGAGGACGGAGGACGAGGATGACGACGACGGTCGAGGACAATGACTGGGAGGACGAAACAATCTTTACTCAGCGGCCGCACAGCATCAGACGGCGCGCGGGCAGCGGCGGGGCGCGCTAGTGCGAATTCGGGCACGAGTGGACGAGAGCGCGGGAGGGAGGGGGCCGGAGAAGGGCGCGAGGACGAACACACACGAGGACGAAAACGGACGAGGGGGATGGGGACGACGAGGGCAAGGGCCACCACCGCCGGACGGGCGACGCAACGACGGATAAACGCAGTGAGACAACGGCGACGACGACGACGACGACGCAGCGACGCAGCGACGGCGCCCCCGCCTGTCGGCACCCAACACCGCGTGGTGCACCCCAAAGCCGGTGCTCGCGCCGGGGTCCGGTGACAACGTGTCCACCCCCAGGCCCACGATGCTGCGGGTCTAAGCAGAGAGGGGTCATGGTTACTCGCTCGTTCACTCGTCGTCGTCGTCGTGGTCCGTCGTCGTCGTCGCCGTCGCCGTCGTCGTCGTCGTCGGGATCGCGGTTGTCTTCGTCGCCGTCGCCAGCTCCTTGTCATCGTCGAAAAAGGCCGTCGCCGCCGTCGCCGTCGTCGTCACGGCGTCGTCGAGGCCAGGGATTCCGAAACCTCCTGCCCGTCGGGGAGGGGGGGGGGCGAGCTGCGCACGGACCTGGAGCCCCTGGGCCGTGCCAGAGAACGCCAGAAGCCCGCCCGACACGGCCGAGGGGCCGATGCGCCACCGACGCGCCCGACGCGCCGACAGAACGCCTGGCTCGCGCACGCCCGCCCATCGGATCGCGGGCGGTGGCGCCTAGCACAGGGCACGGCCAGAGAGCTGTCTGCAGCCCTCGCCGTCAGAGGGGTTGCTTTTTTTGACATCGGACGACGCAAACACAAGCATAGACACAGACATACACACACACACACACGTAAAAAGAAGAGAAGGGATGAAACCTCCATTAAGCTAAGGCCCTCCTCAGACCAAGGCCCGACGTCGACTGTAACACCGTCAAGGTTTGGGATGTAAGTCTTTGGCTTTGCGGTTCAACGAATAAAACCTACCCTGGTCCCCCGTTCGTGGGCAGGGACGGCGCTCGTGGCGGAGACCTCACACTTGGCGGCCGCTGGTATTTTCACGTGCAGCGACGGCAGACAAACATGATTCAATGATCGCTGACGTCCAGGAAAATCATCGAGTGGCCCAGCCCAAAAAAACTTGGGAGCGTCGAGCCCACGGATTCCCACCCAAGGACCCCCCGGGCAAACACAAGGAGAAAGATTCACGACAGAGCGGGGCCCACGGAAACAGCATTGGCACTGTCAGAATCGGCCTCGCCAGCTCCAAGAGTGCCCAGCGGGCTTTGACTTCGCGTTGGCATACACCTTCTCGCAAAGAGGGGGGAGGACAAGTGAGGCACCAGATGCTATCCGAAGCAGCGCCCTTCCCCTCGAGGTCCCACGCCTCGCCGGGGGCGTGACTATGGGGGGGCTTGCCGCCCCGTCGCGTCTGGCCGGCAGGGGAGCACCGCGTACCTCGTTGAGGATACGGCAGAGATGGAGTGACTAGAGAATCCGAGTATGCTTCTCCGATGTCTCGATCACAGAAACTCGCAAACAGCACTAGACGGGTCGAGCCGAGGCCACAGCGGCAGCAACCTTCCTGCCAGCGTGTAGGCAAGCTTCGAGAGGCGCAACAGGAGAGCAGGCGCGTCCGCCTCTCGGGCGGAAGGCCGAGGGCGGCGAGCCGCAGCACTCCTCGCAAGCAAAGCACCGGCATCTTTGCCGAGCTCATGGTACCGAAGCTCGTCAGAGACACCTGGGTCCTCTACAGCGCGCCCTGTGGGCTGCAAAGTTAAAAACGCGCCAAAGCAAGAACGCGTGTAGGATTGTTCTTCTTCTCGGGACATGCTGTAGGACTGGCGCACAACGGCCGCGTGTAGGACTGGCGCACAAAGGCCGCGTGTGAGGACGCTTGTAGGACTAGAGCGCAACGTTCAAACAACATGAAGAGCCTGTAGAATCGGGAAGGGCACCCTGCCCAGCAGCAAAGATGGCCATGAACTCTGGCGCCTGAGGGCTCTGGGGGCTGGGCGGCGAAACCAGAAACCGTAGCACGGTACCGAATGCAGCATTCGGACCGAAATCGTGCACTGTAGGCCCGCCCCCCCTGGACGGCCACTGACCCACGCTTCTGAAACAGCCCCCGTCCAAATGGAAGTCACCCTGGGCATCCGCGTCTACGCCGTCAAGCCTGCCAGTCCAGGTAGCGCGAGGCTCACCGTCGCTGAGCGGACGAGGGAGGATATCTATCACCTGGATGTTCAAAGATAGGGCGGATTAAAAGGATGCGCCCTGACAGGTCCTGGACATCCAAACTGCTGACATCAGGGCGGTTATCCTTGAGCTTTGCAAGATCTTCTTCGGGCTCTTCCTCGAACTCAGGACAAGAATAGAAGCGGTGCACAATCGAGCCGGGCGCACATCTACAAAGCTCACAATCAGCTCCTAGAAAGAAAGCCCGACAGGAAACGAACCAGTTAAAGCAGCCCAGACCTCGAGACCTCGTTGGAATACCGAGCTACGGGGCTCACGGCGGCACGCCAGCACGGATCTTTCCCGAGGTGGAGGACGGATGTCAACGACCGTCGCCCAGCGCTTGGCAGGCAAGTAGCACCGAAAGATCCCGGGGCCACGAAAAGCCCTTGGTCGGAGAAGCCTACTACTTCACTACACTACACAAGGCCTGGCAAGGGTCCAGACCGGACATCCTCTTCGCAAGCGGCCCAGGACACTCTTGTGGCATTTCAGTATCGAAACCTTCTTGAAACCTGAGCGGCGCACCTTTTTCTTTTGGACATCTGGCCATATTTGAGAGATCGTCCACTGGAGTTGTCTATGCCGAAGTTGACTGCAGAGTTGCACGCGTCACCTGTCAGGTCACCCACCTGTCACGTCTTAGAAGCAGACAGCGGCGAAGAAACAACCAGCGCGGCCTTCTTGACCAAAAATCCGTCCCGTAGGTCGTGAACTATGATGTCGTGAGTGGTAGTCGATTCCCGTACGATGTATTGACATATTTCCGGCTCAGTCCCAGTAGCGCTGACACCATGGTCGTGCATATAAAGCTTAACTTTGGGAGGTAAGTTGGCACGAACGACATTGCTAATCACGAAGACACGAAAGAGCGTCGTAGCCATCAACCAGCCAGCGGCAAGTCCATGAGAGGCATGATGGGGTCAATGCACGAGACCAGCCATGGATATAGAAAGCGGGGCGAACGGTAGAAGCTAATAGCCAAACGAGTAAGCGTGAGGGTGAGGTCCGCTCCAGCACGTCTCTTGAATGAAAGGTCCAGGGGTACCAACTCGTAGAACTTAAATGTCCCACAGGAGCGCTGCTGCTGAGGATCCCAAGGTACGGGCAACTTCGGCACGAAAAGCCTGCCGCCAGACTACATCCGATGCCGAAGCAAAGCTGTTACCTGCGAGATAGTTCCTGAGAAACTTGGCCTCCCAGCTGGATGCAAGATCTCTGCTGCAGCGCCCTCACAGGCGGTAGCAGGGTAAGAAAATGCATATGGGTCTGAGCCCGCCAGCGGGTTTGTGCAACATCGCCACGGAAATCACTTGCAGCCGCTCCAGCTCCGAACCAGACCGTTCCATGATGGACATCATGAAGCTGAGAACGGAAAGGCACTGATCGCACACGCAAGCGTAGTGCCGCATGTGAAAGCCGTCGACCGAAACAGCAATGTGCTTCGCATGTGAACGGTGGGTCTGACGCAGCCCGTCGGGCGGAACCGGCGTGAGAAGCTTCATCGGTACGAGAAAGTCTGGACATGCAGGCAGCGAAACGGTAGACCCCAGAAAGCTGCGAAGAGTACAGCTTCCCGCTCAAGAAGTTGTAAAGGACATGCGAGTACACTTCCTGTGAGGACAGCGCCGTGGGCGGCTTACACGACTCCCTCCCCCTGAGGATGGCATGCGTCTTCCTCCCTCCTTCGTAAGCCTTCTGCAGAGCCCCAGCCATCCTACCGAGCAAAACTTCACCTTCCTTCCAATCAAAGTCGGTTCAAGACACGAGAAAGATGTGAGCCTCCGTGAAAGATTGGCAGAAGTCCCCTTACTGCTTCCGAAAATGCTTGGGTGGGCCCCGAAAAATATCACAGATCCGAGACTCCGAAGGATATGGGTTGCAAAGGACGGGTACCATGGTGGACATCCTGGGGGGCGGGCGGTGAACTCGATAGAGCTCTCCGCCGCGCCGAGAGGAGGCCCGACGAGGACAGCGTCGTACCCCCCGAGCACCACCGATCGCAATCCGCACCCCGGGGTAACCATGTCCTTTGTAGTCTCCGAACGGATGCCTGACACGTGCTGGGAGTCGGTACGTACCGCAACTAGCATCAGGAGCACGCGAAACTTACTGACGGCCCACTTGGCAGCAACTACTGGGCCAGTGGCCTCGTCTGGCTTATTGGGCTTCAAGAGGGGTGCCCAGTAGAGAGCAGGAACCTGACCTCGATCACCGACTCAAGGAAGCGAAGCCTGCCTAGCTTCCAGAATCTCCTGTTCAACGGTGTTGGCCCAGCAGCAGTAGCGAGGAGTAGAGACGTCTAGCATTGGGGCCACCTTGCCAACATCAACAGAGTCAGCAGCTCGCCGAGCCTGCTCCTCGATAGCATCCCGCTGTTGAGGAGGAGAAGGGTGAGGCCCTGTGAAGAGGGAGCAGGAGGAGGAGCAGGCGGAGGAGGACGACGACGTCTTCTGGAGCCCTCGGGAGGCCCTCTGGCGGTCCCTATAGACACGCCCCGGGTACACCCTGAAACCCAGGAAGGGCCGAAGAGCCGAAGACCTCGATGCCTCGACGACGACGACGACGACAACGACGACGATGACCACGACGACGACCACGACGACGACGACGAAGACGACGACGACGAAGACGACGACGACGACGAAGCGACGACGAAGCGACGTCGTCGAAGATGACGACGGACCACGACGAAGACGACGACGACGACAAAGACGACAAAGACGACGACGACGACGACGACGACGAAAACGACGAAGACGACGACGACGGAGGACCGACGACCGACGACCGGCGGCCGACGTCTTCCGTAGGCCTCGGAAGGTCCGCATGGGAGGAGGCCCCTACTGAAGCTGTCAGGCGCGCCCTGAAGCCCAGGAGAGGTCGAAGGGTGCCCGGAAATCTCGATGCGTCGAGCCTCACCGCTCCGTTTTCGTCGTCGTCGTTTGCCTGCGGGGGGGGGAGCCCTGCCCGACCGACCGACTCGCCGACGACGACGGCGACGACGACGATCCTTGACTTCAAACCCCCCAAACCCCCGAAGCCTTGGTTTTTCCCATACGAGGCCCGCGGAGCTCTGCACCATTGCCGATCCCCTGGGCCAGGCGAGAACCCACAGACGCCGAAGACGACGGAAAATGTCCGTCTTGGTTTTTGCTGATACGTTAGAGGTCTGGACCTTAGAATTGTCTCTCGCTCCTCCATCCTCAATCCTCCTGGTGCCCCTCCAGTCACGATAAAAAAGGCGGTCGATGCTCGAGGCGACGCTCGATCCTCGGCCCATGCTCCTCGAGGTGAACCTCGACCACCGATCCCCGATCCTCGGTCCCCGGGCCCGCAAAGCCTCCACCAGCCAGGCGGCCGCCGCGGGGGAGAGCCCAGGGAAGTGCATGGTCGGCAGGCAGTACTCCTGGGGAGGCGGGGAGTAGTTTTTCCTCCCACAAACACCTAGGTCACTAGCTCGCTTGAAGAGCATACCGGGAATTGCATGCCCGAAGCGCACCAACAAACCTTGAAACAGTGCACGCTTCAGGTGATCCAACCGAATCAGAAGAAGGAGAAGACGGCGAGCGGAAAGACGAATATACGCATGCCATAAAATATGACTTCGCCGGAAAACGTATCGCACCCGTGCCTGCGAACGAGCTGAATGATATAAAACGGCCCAACCGACCTATCCACAACAAAACAACACGCCATGGTATAGGACGCGGGAGGCGGGAGACAAAGGAAAAGAAAGACGAGGACAACGTGGGGGGAACGAGGAAGACTTCGCACACGGAACCAACACACTGAGCGCTGGTTACCGCCACTGCTTGGGAGAACGGCCCCAAGCAAAAACGTGCGAACGCGGAACGATGCGACATGCCCTAACGTCGCATCGGCGAGACCCCAGAGGAGAGGAGGAGGAGGAGGCGGAGGAGGAGGGGGAGGAGGATGGAGGCGGAAAACAATTAAGCTCGCGAGCGCGTAGACCAGTCAGAGCATAGCCTAGGGCGCTCGCGCAAATGTCCCACGCGAGCGGACGATGGGGGGGAGCACTGACGCAGGGCCGGCTATGCGGCACAGCGGTTCGCCACGCGATGACAAACGAACCGGCTTGTGGCACGTGTCACGCAGCGTCAGGGCAGTAGCTGCAGGGCCCGCGGGTGGCTGCGCGCGGCCTCCCGCAATCACTGCTAAAGGGCATCAGAAGCCGACGAGAGAAAAAAAAAAAAAAAAAGGAGCGGCGGAGGACGAGGACGTAGACGAGGGAGAAGTAATGGAACATCTCCAGTTGTTGTGGTTGCTGGCGTTGACGGCGCGCATGACAGCGTAGCGGATCAAAGCCGTTTTGCCGAGGACGGAATGGCTGCCCGGATTCATGGCGACTCCCATGCCGAGGAAGGACGCCAGCGGGCGAGCTCCATGCAGCTGGAGCTCCAGGCGGCGTTGCGCGAACTGATGGACGATGCCGCAATGCGCGTAGTGCTCGATGTTGTCCTCCTGCGGAGGCGGGGAATGGGCGGCGCGCCGCTGCCGCGGCCGTCGGCCTCGCTGCCAGGGTCGAGGTCGAGGACGCTGTCGAAGTCGAGGTCAGAGAGTAAAAACTAACGTGGAAGCTTAAGCAACGTTTAGCCGATCCCTATCCCCTCTGGCGTGGTTTGGGCCCCACTGGCCGGAGCGGCCCGCACTAGATTGGGATATAGGCTGTTCGCTTCGGGTCTTGACGGGCATCTCCCCGCTTGGGGTTGTGGGACGGTGGGCATCGGGATGGGACCCAATCCCCGACGCTGTTGGGTTTCGAATGGATCCGAAATTCAACCAACCCTCTGGGCGTAGGTGGCTGAACGAACTTGGCCTTCTCTCTGCAAAAGTTCCTTCCGTCTCCTGTTCGGGGGGACAGGCCTATCACTGTTCCCTAACCATATATGCCCCCTACCCCAGTTGGCCGGCGGCGAACCGGGAACCATGCCAAACCCAGGAGGCCCCCACCCATCCCTATCAAAAACCATACAAAACGCAACATATCTCCACATTTGGAGCATGCGTGGCCAACCCGACGCGCCCCCCCTCCCCCCCCCACAACTCCTTTTCAAAAAACAATGCAACATATACGTCGGGGCAAAATCTTGAATCATGTTCGTGCGGCCCGCGGGCAGGTTGTATTGCTGTTGATAAGGACGGCGCGGGTGTCAGCATATTCCCTGCTGTGCGCAGGGCTACCATCCCTGACAAACACAAAAGAACATGCACGTTGCGGCTACATCTGGGTCATGCGCGCCCCCCCCACGATCACTGTCAAGTGGTTTTTGACAGGGACGGCGGGGGTGGTGGCGCGTGGCCTGCTGTGCGCAGGCCCACCAGACACAGCGATGGGTATTGGTTTTCGACTCCGACATGTTTCACGATGTGTGCTGTCATAGGCGCAGGCGCACCTGACGCACTCTGCACGCCCCCCGAACGTGGCGCACCGTGTGCGGTTGGAGTGTGCCGCACACCTGGCGCATTCGGAGCACGTGGCGCATCTGGCGCACCAGGCGCGCCTGGCACGCTCGGGCCCCAGGGGTGCCTGGCGCGCGTGGCGCCCCTGGCACGCATGGTGCACCTCGCCCAAGCGTCGCGCACCTAGGGTCGGCGTTGGTTCCCAATTGCTGTTCACCCAAAGACGAAAGCTGAACATGCTCAGGCTCGGGAAATACTTATGTGTTGGGAGGGTCGGTGGGGATGAGCTAGACGGTCTGCTATCTAGGAAGGTAGCGTGACCCTTGACCCCTCCCCCTGCCCCCTCCCCTGGGCCTGGGAAAGGGGGGAGCCGCGGCCAGTTAGAGCGCCCAAGATGGCCCAATATGGTTCCAACGAGGCCTCAGAGCCCCCAGGATGGCCTCGAACGTGGCTCAAGATAGCTCGAGATAGCTTCCGACATACCTCCAAGAGGCCTCGAGATGGCCCCAAAACGGTTTCAAGGGCCCTCCGAGCCCTCCACGTACCCCCCAAGAGGCACAAGTCCTACACAGATTTCCAGAAAAAAACCATGTGTTCTGTTGTCTCGCACATTCGTTTCTGATGGGCTTTCCAGGCCTCAACATGGCCCCAAGGCGGGCCTCCTGGACGGGGGATGGGGCGGAATCCGTGACCCCCCCTTTCGATGCATTGGGCCCAAGATCGCCCCGAGAGGCCTCCCAAACTCTCACTTTGCAAGGAGGGGACGAACAAAACCGTTATACTGCAATGTTCTGCACTGTCCTGATTCGAACCTAATTCCCTCGGCAAGCGTTTCTAGATGGACTGGTGGAGATACGCGAAACGTCAAGAGCTTGAAGCCGAATTCTGGGACGCACGAAAGGGGGCGCCCATCCTCGAAAGGGACGTGTCCGAACAGACCCCTTCTGGGGTTGTTATCTCATAGTTTCCCCCCCTTTTCATGGACGACTTAATTTCCCAGGCGGACATCGGGAATTGGGGGCGAGAAATCGCCCCCGAAGGATGAGGAGACGGCCGTCGCCCAGTGTCAGAGTTCAGCGTGCTCGAGACTCTGCGGGCGGGCGGGGTGGCGCGAGTCCCACTTCCGCCACCAGCCCGCCCACATCCTGAAATATTGAAAAGGAGGAAACGACAGGAGGGCGAGAAAATCTACGCGAGGAGATTGCTCCAAGCCTGGCTCGCGGCCGCCACCTCGCGGGCGGCCCGATCCCTGGGCCGACCGCGCCGAGTAGCGCGATGGGCGGGCTAGAAGTGAGGATGCAAGAAAAGAAACAATATCCTCCGTAAAGGAAGTACAGCGTATCATGATCGAAGGCGACATGTCTAAGGCGCGTCTAGGGTGAGCGCGGTGCACTGATCAGACCCTGAGGCAAGACAGCGCAGCGGACCAGCCAAGGTTGGACACAAGGCACCGGACATGGCGGCGGCGCGAAGGGGAACGTGGGAGGACAGAGGACGGAGGAGGAGGAGGAGGAGGTGGAGGAGGGGGGGGGAGGAGCATGAGTGAGCCTCATCTGTCCCCCCTTCGTCTCCTCCTCCTCTCCCACCATCATCAACGTCATCATCCTCATCATCATCATCATCAGCATCATCATCAGCATCATCAGCATCACCACCATCGCCGCCACCACCACTACCACGAGCATCGCCATCATCACCATGATCACCACTACCACCGTCACCAACACCACCACCACCACCACAATCACCATGATCAGTACCAGCATCACCATCATCATCATCATCATCATCATCATCATCATCAGCAGCAGCACCGTCAACGTCATCATCGGCATTACCTTCAGCAGCATCAGAATCATCACCATGAGGAGCAGCAGCATCAGTATCGTCATCATCATCATCATTAGCATCAGCAACAGCATCATTAGGAGCAGCATCATCAGCATCGAGCATTACCAGCATCATCAGCATCATCACCAGCATCATCATCACCATCATCATCGGCATCATCAGCATCATCCGCATCGTCATCCTCATCGTCGTCATAATCATCAGCATCCTCAGCATCGCCATCATCAGCAGCAGCATCATCATCGTCATCATCGTCATCAGAATCATCATCATCATCATCATCATCATCATCATCATCATCAAGGTCTTCGTCAGCATAATCGTCATCATCATCACCGTCATCAACCTCACCAGCATCATCATCATCAGCAGCATCATCATCATCATCATCAGCATCATCATCATCATCATCATCATCATCATCATCATCTTCAACATCCTCATCATTATCATCATCGTTATTATGGCCATCATCATGATCAACATCATTTTCAACATCAACATCATGATGCCCGTTGCCGTCAGCATTACAATGACCATTGTAATCACCGCTGTGATCAAATGTCATCGCCTTCAGCGGCGTCATCGCCATCAACACACTAATCAGTATCGCAGTCACCATAAGCATGCTCACAGTAACCATCAACATCATCATCGGCATCTACCTCATCCTGCCCATCATCATCGGTATCATCATCATAATCATCGGCATCACCATTTCAGCAACATCACCATCACCACAAATGGAACAAGAACATGATCTCCGAAACTGACACCATCCACCCATCCACGCCATCACCAGCACCACCGATATCCCTCAGCTTCATTCTCACCCCCCCACAACAAGCCCTTATCGGTCCCCTCTTCTTCCTTCACACCCTCCATCCTCCTCGTCCTCCTCCGTTCCCTCTTTCTCCTCCAGTTCCTCCTCACTCCTCCTCCTCCACCTCCTCCTCCTCCTCCGCCCCCTCTTCTTCGTCCTCCTCCTGCAGCTCCTCCTTTCCTCTTCATTACAAATGATATTTCCTGTCGCACCCCGAGGCCAGTTTTTAGGGCGGGCCGGGCGTTGCGTCCGAGCCTATGACCCTGAAGCTTCACAGCTTCAGAGATGGAGGGCGGGTCGTTTTCAACATGTGGAGCTCACTTTAGCGCCGCGCACATTCGCTCTTAACATTTGCAAAAGCTTCACGGATTGAGGGCGGGTAGTTTTCAACATGTGGCTCTCGCTTTAGCGCCGCGCACAGTCGTTGGAAATAGGAATTTCACGGATTGAGGGCGGTTCCTTTTCAAATTGTGGTTCTCGCCTTAGCGCCGCGCACATTCTGTTTAAACGTTGCAAGAGGTTCACGGATTAAGGGCGGTTCCTTTTCAAAATGTGGTTCTCGCCTTAGTGCCGCGCACATTCGCTTTAAACACTTGCAAGCGCTTCACAGATTGACGGGCCGTGGTGTTCAAAATGTGGTTCTGGCCTTAACGCCTCGCACATTCGTTTTAATTTTTTGCAAGAGCTTCACGGATTGAGGGCGGTGCCTTTTTGGAAGTGTGGTTCTCGCCTTAAGGTCGCGCGCATTCGTTTTGAATAGTTGCACAAGTTTCACGGAATGAGGGTGGGCGGTTTTCAACATGTGGCTATCGTCATAGCGCCGCGCACATTCGTCTTTAACCTTTGGAAGAATTTCACGGAATCCCGTGACAAACGTACCAAAGATGGTGTTTTGGAAGGATTCATGATTATGCGGGTGCAACAGTTATGTTGGTTCGCGGTGTTGGCGACAATTGAACATGGCGTTCTGGCACGATTCCGGATCGTCAAAACGCAGCAATCAGGTTGATCTGCGGCGCTGAAATCCCGGGAACAATGGCATGCTTCATGATCTTCAAACGGTTGTCTTCCAACGAGGAAATTCCCTCAATGGAAATAAACTGTTGTAGGGGCCTATGAAGAGGGAACTTGGAGAGAGGGTTAATTCCAACATCGTTGATGATTATAGGGTTTACACTGGTCTTCCTCCTCATCACCCTCTTCCTCCTTCTTCTATTGTTCCTCCTCCTCCTGCTCCTCTTCCTGCTCCTCCCCCTTCCTCCTCGCATCGTCTATATTCGCCTCCTCCTCCTCTTCCTTCTCGTCCTCCTCTTCCCCATCATCTTCCTTTCCCTCCGTCTGTGAATCTTCATCCGTTTTCGTTCCATCCTTCCGTCCTTGCTCCACCCTGTTGTTCATTATCCATCCACGTCTCCCCGTCCTCCTCCCTCCTCCTCATCATCATTTCCCCTCCCCCCTCCTCATCCTCCTCGTTATTATCCTCTTCCCGGATGGAGCAGACGCGGATGGAGTAGCAGGATTGCAAAGGAGGGGGAGGAGGAGGAGGAGGAGGAGCTGAGGAGGAGGAGGTCGAGGTGGCCAGGAGGCGGGGAATGGAGCAGGGCGATGGTGAAAAGAAGTCAGGGGGAACAAACATGTACTGACGAGGAGGACGAGGAAAAGAAAGAGGCTCCCTCACCGTCCCTGCCTACAGCCCTCGCCCCCCCCCGTCCCAGGTGGTCCGGGTGGACGTCGTCCGCGCGCCCAGCGTTGTGGTACACGGTCCACGGGTCGCGGCCCGTCCCGACGTCATCCTCGAAGACAACAAAGTAGGAGGAAGATGAGGGCGAGGAGGAGCATGAGGAGAAAACGGTTCCAAGGGCCCTCCGAGCCCTCAACGGACTCCCAAGAGGTCAAAGTACTTCAAACACCGAGGTAAAGTCTATGTTTGTTTGCCTTCTCGCCGTTTCGTTTCCGATGGGCTCTCGAGGCCCAAAGAGGGGCCCAGGAGGGGCCCAAGAGGGCCCAAAGAGCGCCCAAGAGCGCCCCACGAGGGCCTCAAGACATGATGTTTGAGCCTCCGAGGGGGGGCCTGAATTGAGAACCCCCTCTTTTTTGAGCTATGGAGCCAAAGACGGGCCCAAGAGGCCCCCAAGATCCCCCACCCCTAAAGAGTCACAAGAGAGCCACAAGAGGGCCCCAAGAGTGCTCCAAGTGGTTCTGCGAGGACCCCAAGAGAGACCCCAGATGGCTCCAAGAGACCTCCGAGAAGACACTTCCAAGGCGCTTGTTACAATGCATGTTTCTCAACTTACCTGACCGAGGCAACTCGCTTGGCAATATGTTTCTGGATGGGCTGGTGGGGACACGCGAAGCGTCAAGAATTTGCCTTGCGCCATTCGGGCAAAATTCTCTCGTCACGTCTTAGGCATG